TTTTAGTAGTCGTGCAGAAATGTAGTGACAGATAGAGAGAGAGAGAAGTTACTTTTCGATACTAGTGCGAGGTAAATTAACTAAACTATAGATTGTCAGAAATCGCATTCCTTGCGCCCTCTGTATGTTACATTATCCCCGGGTTACATGGGCTGTATTATATTTTCCAATTTTTGCCAAATACCCGTGCAAAGCCGGGTCGGGCTGCTATATAGTGTTCAATATTTCGACTTTGGTATAGAGAAGGATTCAAAGTAAATTTACTTGTTAATTTAATAATTCTCATTTCCGTAATAGTTATGCAATGATAAGTCATTCTGCAATTTCAATGAGGTAGCAAAGTCTGTCAAGCCTGGAAGAAAATTGCGTCGCCCACGTCAGAAAGTCATACGCATACGAATAGATTTAATCATACTTATGCTTATAAGAATAACAATTATAAAAAATTCAAAACAATAATACTTAGAACGGAGACCTTGAACCTGTATATATATACGAAATATGAAATTGTAAACGTTTGACGGGGTAATTTTATAGCATGACCTAAAGCTTGGGCAAGTGGTAGTAACCACAAGTGGACGTAATATAAGTGAGGTTTTGTACATATAATATAATATATAATACATATAGATACTGTTGGAGTTGGGATTATTTATGTGACGTTCCATTACGAACTCTTAATTGTTTGACTAATGCGCGCCTAAAGGCGCAACTAACTCCTTACACACTAGCTCTTAAACTTTTAAATTATTTACTCACTCAAGTTACTTAATTATTTCATTCCTACTTTAATACAATTCACAGTTAATTTACTTAATGGATTACCATAAAATTTTTTAGTACAATAGAGTAATAGCAACAGCCAGACTTGTACTTACTTTCCGTCTTCAGTGATTGTCCAGACGATAAACAATTAAATCAACCGAAGATTACTGCTAGAGTGGAAACATAACGAGTCATAGTGATATAATTGTAATTTTGCAACTCACTATATATTTGTCTTCATACGCTAACAGGTGCGGTCGTATGTAGGATTAAAACGTTGTTTATAGATAATGTCGCACAGCCTCTCCCATTTGTTTACGATACTTTAGTATTAGTTATTATTATTAGTTTGTCGGGAATAGTCAGGTTATCATAAAATCACATTTTTTTATTTATTAAGGTACACGTCAAGCGCGGGAACTTTGTGTTAGGTGTTTTACAATCTCATAAAGAATTCAAACTCATTCGCTTGTGTCAGCTTCTAGAAATGATATCGAAGTAATATGATACGATTTTTAATTGATTATTTATCAAGTCATTGTCTGAAAATTCAAGTAATGCCTGATAAAATCTGAAATTCTGGCGAGTGATAAGGAATAGCTAAGGAATATTCATGATAAAATGAAAATATCAATTTAATCAATTAGTTTGCATGTTAATTAATATTCAAGTGCATTTTCTTCGATGTATTGACAAAAAATAATAACTTTTTTGTACCATAATATTAGATAGCTCGGACTGGGATCAATTGTCACGTAATTTTTTTCAGTTGATCATTACTTATTTTAAATCGACTATTATTTATTACAGTTTACTTTTTTCCGAGTAACCAACAAAATTTGACAACTTGACTATTTTTGAAAAATGGATTCTATACAGCTCATATTTTAAATTTATATATTTTTTTTTCTTAGTAACTATTTTAAAATAAATATTTCTATTTGTCGAATCCGATTTAACCAATGTTTAAAATAAAACTTTTTCTTCGTCCGCTGTAAAATTTTCTAATTATAGATTACTTTTTAAAATATGAGTATCGATGTACTTGAATTTAAAAAACAATGTCATCACTATATTGACAAAAATGTGATCGATTGGCAAAAGGTTCCAAAAATGTCCAAATCAAAGGAGCTCTTCTCTTCATTTTAGTAAGTATATAATAGTTTAATTTATAATGTATCCGCTGGTAATGAAACTTGTCCGGCAATAAGGATATTTTTTCATAATAATTCTGATGACAATCATTTTTTAAGGATATTTTTTACACAGTAGAAACAATAAAATCTTATTTCGCCACAAGCAAATAAAATTAAATTTTTGCAATTGCGGTCAAATAAGTAGACAAAATTTATAATTACCAATATTTAAGTTCATAATGTGCATTATAAATGAAAATTAAAAAATTACGCCGAAATTTAAAGCATGTGAAATCAAAAACTGGCAAAATCATAAAACCTAATAAATTCAGTAAATGCGCGGCTTATCTTGCCTCAGGGAATTCCTGGCCTACTTTTCCTCTGCTATTACACCTATTACGAATCACAAGGAGTCACGAGTTAAAGTAAATTGCAAATCAAGGAGTAGAGTACACGGTGGTCGCGTGAATCGATTAAACATGTGTTTGTGTGACACCTCACACGTCGCAGGCGGACAACCGTTGAATTGTTCTACACGCAGGTTGAAGGCCCAACAATATATAAATGCATATTAACTCTCGAAAATAAAAAAAAAAAAATACTATTTATACAGATGAATATGTTGAAACAACAAGAAAGATACTTTTTTTTCTCTAAGTTTTAATTTAGCATATTTAATTATCTACTGTCATATATTCATAATTTTTAACAAGTATAACTACGCAGGGTAACTTAATAGTCCATTTGTATGAGTTGATACATTTGGATGTGGATCTATGCAAATAATAAAAAGTGGGCGGGCTTAATGAAATCCTTTGCACCGCAGTGATTATATATATAGGTGAATGGATTCTCGCTTCACCAATCACTAAGTCAACATTGCACTTACGGTGTAGGTATACCGGAAGTCTTCCGACGTTGAATATTTATCTAAAGAATTATCACTAATCGAATATGCAATAGGTCTGATTATTAAACATGATGAGTCAGTCGAAGTAATATTTTTAAAGTTTACCAATGAGAACGAGTATTTAATGATAAAAAAATTTATAAAAAAATGCATCAACATTTTCACCTTCTCGCTAAGAGAATTGAAAATTTTCAAAAATTGGGAAGTTATTGGTTCCACCACGTTTTTCGAAAATCCAGTTTTGATTAGATCTCGACGTTTTGAGGTCCTAGGAGGCTTCCCTGACGATTCTTACGATAATGTATGAATGTAAGTGTGCGCGCGTGTGTGTGTGTGTGTGTGTGTGTGTGTGTGTAAACCTCTTGTAACTTTTGAACGACTTGACCGATATCATCGCGGTTGGTGATATTCGAAAGGGCTTCACTAAACTTAGATTTCCTGAAAATTTGAACTGATTCAGACCCGTAGATTTCGAGAAAATGCAAAAAAAGTGAAAAAAAGGTGAAAAATAAAGTTGTTTTTTTTTTATTTTTTTTAAATATCTGGAGGTTTTGCCGCGAACCAACATGGCTTCCGGAAAGGACGTTCAACAGTAGGCGCGATACAGAACGTCGTAAGGACAGCGAGAGAAGCATGGATTGGTAGCCTCAAAGCCCGCAAGGTGTGTCTTCAGTTAATCGGTAACTAATTTTGTTTAAAAACATAATAAAATAATATTTCATATGCACAGTTATTAATTAAAAATTTTTTATTAGGTTTCAAAGATGTATAAAAAGGAGAATGCAAAATTCAGGTGTTTGTAAGTCAAGTATTGAAAATTCAAAAGTGTTCAGGGCTCGAAATTTATTAACAAATTTAAATTCTCAAGATGAGAATCTTCAAGATGAAAACCCTGCACCCTGCAACCAAGCAACTTGTGATGTTGAAACTGTCGTAAATTTTTTATCTGACGATGATGATGATGATACCGAAAATTTTAATAAAATCAATACCATTTTTATTTGCATAAACCATCGAGATTTAAATGTTTGTGATGCTGAAACACAAATATACATACCACGAAAAGATAAAATTAAGCCTAATCCAAGCATAAGTGACAATTTTAAAGTTCCTGAAGCATGTAAAACAGGATTTCATGGCTACTCATCAGTAAAAGATGCGATTGACGAAGTACGTGATCTATGTGGAGTTAGCCTTGAAACGTTTAAACTTTTATTGAAAATATTATTAAGACAAAAATTTGATAATCGACAAAAAGTATCAATGGAAGATCGTCTTTTCATATTTTTAATGAAAATGAGAACTGGTTTAACATTTACGGCTTTATGTGCTTTGTTTAAGCTGCACCGAACCACAATATCAACGATTTTTACCGAAACTTTGGTATATTTAGCTGGTTCATGTAAAAATTTTGTTACATGGCCATCTAAGGAGACAATTCGTGCAATGATGCCCGATGTTTTCAAGGAATCGTACAAAAACTGTAGAGTAATCATTGATTGTACGGAGTTTCACGTTGAACAGCCATCAAAAATTAAACACAGAGTCCAGTTTTATTCTCGATACAAAAAAGGATTCCGCTTGAAAGTTTTAGTCGGTTGTACTCCGTCTGGATACATATCTTTTGTTTCACGCTGTTATGGTGGTAAATAGATTCACAAATAACAAGTACTTGTGGTTTTTTGGATTTGCTCGAACCTGGAGACTTGGTACTCGCTGATGAAGGGTTTCCTCAAATCAAAACTGCTCTTGATGAAGATGGAAAAGGAATATTAATGGTTATGCCACCTTTCTTATACAATAAAACGTTTACAGCAGAACAAGTGGAAGAAACATATCAAGTAGCAAGTGTCAGAATTCATATTGAAAGAATTATGCAAAGGATTCGCACTTACAAAGTCGTTGATAAATTTACCATTGACTTATTGCCTTATAGTGATGCTATAGTATTTATGTGCTGCGTTTTAGTTAACTTACAACCACCGATAATTAAAGTTAATGAAGAAATAGAAAGTGAAGGTAATTTGATCAGTAAAACTATTAAGAAAAACTTATAAAATTTTTTTAATAGTAATCAAGTAAAAATTTAACAAATAATTAGTTATAAACATTTTATAAGTACATGTAAGGCACGCATTATAATTTTAAATAAATAAGTAATGAAAATATAAAGTTTTTTCTTATATTATTTAAACGATATTTTCTTTTTGACTTTTGACTAAGGCTTTTAAATAGTAATGGAAATAAAAAAGTTTTAGTTTTGGAATAAGACTAGCTAAAAATTGTTCATCTCTTTTCAAAGTTACTACATAATACCCCTTCGGTGACCAAATAAATAAATCACATAAATTTAAACCAACAACATACATTTGGACTTGACACTGAGTGTAATAAATATGACTTTTTTTAAGACTAGCTTCATTTTCTCTTAATTCTAAATATTTTACGTTAAAGCTATTCGTTTTTTCATCAAATATTGGTTTTGATGAACACGTGGCAGGACACTTAATCTCCAAAACTTTCATGACTTCACCATTTTTAATGACTATGCCATCAACACTGGCACACAGCCATGATTGAAGTGGCTTAACAAATAAGCCAATTGATACTACATCGACATCAAATTGTTTCATGTATGCTTCAACAGCCTTTTTCTCATTTTTTATACCATACTCCATTGCTTTTGTCGTTGGTTTAGAACCATTTACTAAATTATCTGCCAAAGTTCTACTGTCATTTTTTTTGCTAGTTTTAATCAAGTGTGCCTTTTGGGAAGCACTGATTCGATTTTTTCTCGTAGAAAACCACTCTTGTGATTCACTCTGCTTTACGGTATTCAAACATAAATTTAATATTTGGTAATTGTACATCTTTACATAAAGATTGTAATAATCATAAAGTTTAACATCATTAAAAATTATATTGCGTGAATAAAGTTTTACTTGCTTTGATTTTTGGAGTAAGTTAGCAATCACATTTCCAGCGACACTTTTTTGTACATCATTCACGGCATCATCACATAAATCTTCCACGAACATTCTGGCAGATGTTCTCATTGAGAAATCCTTCTCATATTTTAAAACATAACGAAACGAACAATTAATTTCGCCTAATTCTGAAAAGTCAACGTCGTAAACAGGTCCATAATTCTTTTTTAAAATAAAATCATCAGTGATGAGTAATGGTTTAGCAAAAATTTCTTTTGCAAGCTGACTAGTTGATGGTTTACCCCAATTTTGTTCTTCAGAAGTCTTCGATTCGCCAGTGTCTTTATTAATAAAATCAATTAGTGCATAAATATGCTTACATTTCCCACATGCTTGAGACACACACGTACAACTTCTTTGCATGACGTGTCTGGCTGCATTTAACTGAAAGAATCATATTGTAATTAACGTATTATTTAATTTTCATTTAAAAGTATTATAATTTTACTTACTTCCAACTCAACTTTGTATGGAGGATCTGTAACATTCGTCTGCTTAAAAACTTTACATCTTATTTTTATAAGTTGATTTTGATTTCTTAATTCTTCTACATCAACAACATTCACTTCGCTTAATTTTTTATCATTCACAATTTTTTGTTTATTAAAATCAATTGTATGAGTAATTTTTTCAAAACCAACTTTTATAATTTTATTCATATTAGGAATTTATTCAGGTTGAACACCATAAGTCTCCTTTAGTCGTTTATTTTTCTACAAGAAAAAAATTTTTTTTTCCAATTTTTTTTACTAATTTATTGATAGTAAAAATAAGCTATAATTAACAACTGTTATTTTTGCTTATAACTAATAATTATTTAAATAATAATTTTTTTATCTCAAATGCCCAATGTTTAGTATTGTCAGTGTATATAGTCATATATTTAGTATATAGTCAGTATTGTTGCAAATATTGACTTCCGAGTCCGACATACCCAGGCACCAACACCTAGTCCTGGCAACAACACCGAGCCCTGGCATACGTAAATGTATTTTACCTCCTCTATAAAAAAGAAAAAAAACACACACACACACACACATACATACATACAGACATAGTGACAACCTCGCGAGGATAGTCAGGTAAGCTTCCTGTGACCTTCAAACGTCGAGATCTGATGAAAACTCGATTTTTGCAAAACGGGGTGAAAACAATAACTTCCCGATTTTTGAAAATCTAAGATTTTTAGCGGGAAGTTAAAAATTATTTTTTAATTTTCTCTCGGGCGTTTCAATATTTTACAAATTCTGTGTTCATTAGAGTTAGAAAATTTTTTAACATACAAACAACCATTTTTGTCCGGAATTATACAATGTAGTTGTTGAGTTCCTACAATTGGTTTCGTTTTCAAAAATCTGTCATTTAAATCATTTAATGCTGTATTATAATCTTCTTCTGGAGAAAACTTAACTATGATATTTGGTAAGTTATTCGGATTAGAAGCCCATTCAAAAAATTCTATCGGTGTTGTTATTTGTTTACCAACTGCAAGTTAGAGACTTGCTCTTGCTGCGTGTCGTTTGATGGAAAATGCCATTCAGCAGGAATATCAAAATCATCTTCATGATAATATAAATTTACAAAATTTCTAAAGTTTTTGAACTGTTGAGGAGCCCCATCAGAAAAATAATAAATCTTGTTACAGCGTTCAGGAAGATTTTTTACGTAATCAGTCATTAGTTTGATGAAAACATGAACAGCAACGGCATCGTGATTATTACAGTCTGAAATAATTACTAAACTTTTGTGTTCAAGTTCATCATTTACTTTGTAATAATTAACCACCGGAAAAACTGTTGCCGGGTTATCATTCCAGTGAAAACCAGATGCTGCATTTTGTACTACGAACGCGTAATTCTCTGCAAAATCACAAATAATCACAAACAAATTCATTTGGTTTCAGTGTTTCTTTCAATGTTTTCAAAAATTTGGCTTGTTCTTTAGCAATAAATTAATTAGTAAGATTAATAGAATAGAACAATTAGCTTTTCAAATAACACCAAATCAAAATAGCCTTCGTAAACTGTAATAATTATTTATTTATTTAGGCAAATGTAATATCAACAATCTTTCAATACACTTGATCGCACAAAAGATTAACAGCAATTTACAGGTTATGTTTTAGACAGTATGAAAAAACCGTGTATTTATAAATCGATACAGACTAGCGTATAGTTTCTAGTATACTGATTATAGGTAAGTCTACAATTGTCCTACCCTAGTTTATCGACCTTACTGATAGGTTAAAATTTGAATCTTGGTGATTATATTCGTAAATTAAGTCTATAAATTGAGAATTGTATCACAGAATCGTTAAATTATATTTATTTTATGATAGAAATAAAGTTTACAGAAAAAAAAATTTTTTCCATTTTTGAAAATTTGACAATTTTTTTTTCAAATAAATAAAAAAAATATAAAAAAAATCGGCCCTGCTCGGGATTGGCGGGGATAGTTGTCAAATTAATTGAAGTTTTTTTTGAGAAAAAAAAAAAACGAAAATGGCGGACTTCGAAAAAATGACGATTTTACTTAAAAAAACCGATTATTTTATATAATTGATCATGTTAAATTTTTTTCGTATAATTTTTCGAAAAGTTTGTTCAAAAACAAAAATTTAAAAAAAAAAAGGTACCCAAAAGTCAATTTCTAAAAAAGTTATGGCTATTTGAAAATAAAAAAGCCATTTTTTTGAAAAATTCATAACTTTTTTTGGGTTGGATAAAAAAATTTGAAAAAATTCTCAAAAATGTCTTTCAAAGGGTAGAAAAGAATAGTAAAGTTTCAGCTAAATCTAAAGGGGTCGGGTTCAAAAGTGGTCGATTTGGCATGGAATACCCCATATACACATAGATCGGCGAATAGAAAACATTAATCCTGAATTTACTCAGCAAAAACTTGGACACATATAATGACCGAATTATTAAAATCAAACGGAGCAAGAAAAAAAACACGTCCTACTCGTACTGCGTACTATACTATACTCTATATATTTTCTTAATTCAAGAGAATCTATCTTGACTCAAGAATTTTTCCTCTTAGTTCAAGAAATTCATTTTCTTCCAATTGGCAGCGGTCACCCATCCAACTATAACCCCTACTCAATGCTGCTTAACTTTGGTTATCTCCGTGCGTCTTGAAGTTTCTGTCTGCTGTGCTGCTATCTTAGACAATAATGATTTTATGATCTACTTAATGTATCATATGAGTTTATCATAATTATAATATAAAAATTGATTTTATAATATATTTGGATAGTCATAGTTCATAATTTATTTATCTTACCGAATTTCTTTATAATATAACACTTATTTAAATAATAAAATAAATAATGATTTCACTATTGCGTAGTAGCAGAGCAGACAAAACATGTCATAGGAAATGTGACAAATTTTGTATTTCAGAATTATTTAAACGTAATTATAAACGTCATTTTACACTTTTTGTGATTACCAAAAAAAATTTTTTTTTCAAAGAAAAAATTTTTATGTATGTTAATTATATATAAGCATATATTGCTCCATATATAGTCATATATAATTAATAATTATTAATTATATATGATTATATGTATATGACCTCATATACAATTCCATATATATTCATGTATGATTATATATAACTATATATGATTATATATAATCTTGCTCGGTTGTACATTGCTCTATATATAGTCATATATAATTACCCCCATGAAAAAAAAATATAAAAAATATATATTTCGAAATATATAAAAAATATATTTTAAATATATTAAAAATCTACAAAAAATATATAAATATATTTATTTATTTATTTCAAGTTTGCCTTCTCAGGAAGTTTCCTTCCTCTTGGCAGGAGTTCATATACATTTTTCTTTACATTTTTTACATATACATATTCAAATATAGATACTCACTAAATTGAGTCAAATAATACATCTCAAGAAATTTTTAATTAATAGGATTATTATTTATTTTAAGCAGACTAATATATCATTAAAGAATTAATTAATGTTTAAGTTTTTAAGACATCTAGTATATGCGGTGAATTCTTTCGTGGTGTGTCAGGTAATACGCCGGTATGGAAATCGTAGGTATCACAATCAGCGCAGTTTCCAATTTCAGGGGTCCTGGTAGTCATCGCAGAGATACAGGACTGCCAGGACATTGCTCATATAGTAGTACAGGTTCTTCAGGTCACCTTTCGTGTGTAGATCGAGGCATTCAGGGACAGTTTTTTCCTTTGCGTTTTCATCAGCAGTAGCAGTAAAGAGAAACTTGTTTCTGAAGGGTGTGTACGTTGGACATTCAACCAGAACGTGCTGAACGTTTTCGTAATTGCGATTATTGCAGCTCATGCATTGAATGTTTGGATCAAACGTGCAGACATTGGATTCGTGTTTTAAACGAAGCTTGAAGTTATTAGCCAGTCTTAAGTTAATACTCATTCTTAGCCAGTTTATCGGGCATCTAGCTTTGATGTACTTTGCAGGTTCCAGTTTGGGTCCATAGGTATGCCTGCATTGACAGAATGTTGAGGCGGTCCATTTGGCTATATCTTCTTTTCGGAGTTTTTCAGCGTAGTTTTTAAAGAGTCTATACTCCCTATCTTTCCATGTTTGGCTGCTCAGATTTTCCCATAGGTCTTCGTGACCTGTTTCTTTTAAAATTTGATAGAATTGAGCTGCCCAATTGTATTTCGGGTCACAGTTTTCTCCCAGGGATAGTTTATGTAGCCTAAAGAAAGCTATGCGTGGGTATCTATGTCCGGGCATATCTTATATTTTAAGTATCCATCGCCAGGCCTGTTGAAAAATTTTATACTTGACAAGTGTCAAGCCCAGTTCTAGCCTCAGTGCATATCCCGGTGTGCAGCGTGGTAGCAGAAACAGTCTCTTGAAGAAATTTTCTTGGGCTTTTTCAAGCATTTGGTGATAACGAAGACCCCAGAGATGAGCAGAATACAGAAGCGTGGTAGCAATAGTTGTATCAAAGAGTTTGCATACGGTGTTCCAGGAGTCCGCTTTGCCTTTAGCGAGAATGTTCAGTGTCTGTGAACTAGCGATCGCTGCTCTAGAAATCGCAGATTCAGCTGCCTTCCTTCCATGTAGTGATCCCGAGAAAACTACGCCTAAATAAGTACAGGAGCTGACTACCTCTATATGCTCTCCATTCAGCGTAAATTTAGTTGTCTTCAACTTTCTGCAATTGCCATTTTTATTGAAGTGGATTATCTTGGTTTTTTGTGTGTTAATAGTGAGGCAGTTATTTTCGCAGTAGTTTTTCAATAAGAGCAATTTTTTTTTAATGTCCGAAACATTTTTTGCTAGTATTACTAAATCATCCGCGTACAACAGCATGAGGATATCGGTTCGGCCATCTATATTTAATCCTTCACATCCATTTTTCTTGAAAAAAGTTTCTATGTCCGCTAGAAATAATATGAAGAGTAGTGGACTGAGTGACTCACCCTGCAGTACACCTTCACTGATTGCAATTTGATCCGGGCTTACTCCAATTAAAAACAGTTTCCTCCAGAGCAAAGAGTGGTTAATCGAGTCAAAGGCTCTACGAAAGTCGATCACGATTGCTTCTGCATATCCACCATCCTGCCGTACACGGAGTTGAAGTGTTGCCATTAAGGCAAAAATATTGTCTTGTCAGCTTTGGTTTGCACAAAAACCAGCTTGAGACTCCGGAATAATCGCAGCTTGTTCTGCCCATGAGTAAAGTCTCTCTCTTAATATCGTGGTGAACAGTTTGGAGATGTTATTAGTTAAAGCTATACTACGATAGTTTTCTGGTGCTGTTGGATCACCTTTTTTGTGCAGTAGGGTGAAGAAAGTCGAAGACCAGTCTCTGGGGGTTATTTCTTGGTCCAATACTTTGTTGAAGAATACTATGATATATAATTTCCAGTTGCTGGGAAGATGTTTTAGGTGTTCGCTGAGTATGGTGTCCTCACCCGGCGCTTTTCCATTCTTGAGCTTTGTGAGGCAGTGGTCCAGTTCTTTATAGTTAATTTCACGATCTAGGTATGGGTGAGTTACCCCGTAGTAAAGAGTACTATCACTAATTCTTGGTGGATATATCTTTGTCAGATATTCAGTCCACGTTTTAAGAGAGATAACTGGGCTGCTGTAATTTTTTTGGCGTAGACTCTTCACTACTTTCCAGAAATCAGGCCCGTTTCTTGTGTTAGACAATGATTTTTTTATCTTCGTTATGTATGCTTTACGCTGTTTTTTTGTTACCTTCTGGAAATTTGCACGTAGGGCTTGTACTGTAGTATCATATGGCTTACACTGTTTCACTATTTTCTTGCGAACACGTAGAGCACGGTTGAGCAGATTTTTTGCCTTGCGGCATTCATCGTCAAACCAAGGTTCAGTGTTTGTTGCGATTGATCTATGGTTTACTGTTCGCAGGCAGTCTAGATTCTCTGCGACTTCCAGAACAGCTTTTGACTAGTTTTCATTTATCTCATCTACATTTGCCAGATTAAAATCAATTTTGAGTCTAGCCGATCTTGTCATTACCCTTTTGTATTCAACAGCCTTGTTCTCACTCCAAATGATTTTATTAGTTTTATTTACTATCCTGGTGCCTTCTCTAAGGATCTGGGTATTGAGATTGAAAGCGCTGGTAATTTTTACCGGGTAGTGGTCCGATTTTGAGGTTATGTACACAACCTGCAAATCAGTAATTTTATGTATGCTGTCTATTTTAACCCAGAATAAATCAATTACGCTATTTTGGCAGTTTGTGAAGGTGCTACGAGCCGGTGTGTCACTTTTAGTTCTTCCGTTTATCACTATTAGACCGTTTTCTTCCATAAAGTTCAGGAATTCTTTTCCTCTTGCATCCAGTTTTTTGTCATTTGAGAGGCGGTGGGATTCTAGTTGAGAGTCTGAGCACAGTTCTTCTGGTAGGATGTTCTCCTCCGCTATGTGTGCATTAAAATCGCCTCCAATGATGAAGATATTGCTGTCGAAAGATTCTTCAGTTGCAGAGATAGTCTCTTGAAAAGGTACCAGGATTGTGTTTAGCGCCATTGAAGGTCTGAAATAGCAGAGGCCGATCACTACTCTATTTTGGCCTTTTATCAGTTCAATAATTATCCAGTGTTGAGTGATTTCCACTACCTGAGGTTCTGGAAGCTTTTTGCTAATAAGTAATAACAAGCCACCGCTCGGTCTTCCAAGTATGTGCTCTTTATTTGCTTTCGACCATATTTTGTGGTAGTTAGTTTCAAAAAAACTGTGTAGTCTGGTGGGTTCTGTTTTCCAAGTTTCAGTGATTCCTATAATTTCAGCATAATTTATTTCTGGTTCCGGTTTAAGATTATCTAGGCCTTTGCAATTCCATATGACGTAGTTTAGCTGACACACCACTGTATCCTATATGTCTTGAGCAATTATTTGGTTGTGGGCATAATGTTTTTTTGCACGACTTTCTGGGCCCTCTGATAGCGAGCGATTTTCTAATTGTAACATTCCTTTTTTGTAGCTCCAGCTGTATTTTTTATCATCGATTATTATCCAGTTGAACCCAATTTTTACCGATTTACCTTCTTCCCGTGCTTTTCTGCCTTCTTGTCTTATTTCATGCTGCACAATGAGTTCCTCGCGCGTACGGTCCCCTTCGACGTTTATTGTTGTTCCTTTAAGACATCCTTTATTTTTCAGTATTGTTTTTTTTGCCTCTAGATTTGACATCCGTATCACCAGCACATTTCTGTTTATTCCTATAACTTTTACAGTGTCTATTACACTGTCCAGTTCAAATCTTTCAAGAAAGAAGCTGCGTACACACTCAAACTCCTTTCCGGCTTCCCAGGTAGGACCTTTAATTATAAGGTTAAGTTCTTTTTCTTTTCGCTCTTGATGTTCCAACCTTTCGGACATTCTGAAGAACTGTTCCAATCTTCGATTAGGTATATTCTTCTCTTCTACTACTACATTTCTGCTTACGTTTGTCTTTGTATGAAACTCTTTTATTGAGCCTTCCATTCTTTCTAACCTATTCACAAGATATTCTTTATCTGATCTCCACTCTTTTTCATTTGCTGTTATTTGCGTCTGGAGCGCCTGTATTTCTTCTTTATTTTTCGTTTGGAAATCAGTTAGTTCTTTCCTGAGTGCATTGCCATTCTCGAGTAGCTTGACTTCCATTCTATTCAGCAGTGTTGAGACGCAGCTCAGCATACCTTTGAAATCCGTCACTTCGCCAAACTCTGGTGTATCCATAGCGACTGTTTCAACAGTTTGGAGTTGTGATACAGACGTCTTCAGCTTTTTTGAGGAGTCTAGAGGGTCCTCCTGTTTTTCCTCGACCGAGAATGATGTTGTCGACAGTTTCCTTTTTCCTGGAGTATTTATATATTTTTCGATAGATTTTGATGAGGTTTGGTTACCGAAACGTGCTAAAGCTTCGACATTAGATTTTCTACCTCTGTTTGAGGTTGGAGTACTGACTTTCAGTGGATATTTTACGGTTTGATTGCTTGACATATGTATGCCGTCGATTTTTTTTTAGATGTTGCTTTGGGGAGGGGCCTTGGGGTTACTCATATGATCGTTCGCCATAACCCATGTTTATTAGCACATATAAGCAGCCTTCACCAAAGGGTTTATACAGCAGGTTTTTTACACTGTGAATTTCAAAATATAGGTGCAGCACTCACAATGTTGGGCTTGGTTGCTGGCCATGTGCTTGGTCTAACCTCAAAATAGCGATCACGGTTTAACACGCGTAAAATTTTTAGTATCTATTTAAAAAAAACAGTGTATTTACTTCGTCACAAAATTAATATTAAAACTTCAACTTTATTTATAAGATTTCACTTAATAGAGACTTTTTATCAGTAAAATTCAGATAATTATTAAGCAAGTGCACTGGAATGCATACGTCTTTGGTAGCGCCCTCTATTGAACTCCAAAAGAATATATAAATATATAAAAAATATGCATAATAAATATATTTTTAATAACTAATTTTTGGCCGATATTCATATATATTTTATATATTTCAAATATATTTTATATATATTCAAAATATATTTTTTTTATATTTTTAGCTATGTATTTTTTATATATTTTAAAATATATCTTGAATTTATCTAAAATATATTTAAAATATATAAAACTGAAAAAAATTACCATTTCAAACAGTAAAAACGTGATTTTAATTATCACTTTATAATATTTATCATTTAAATGCTACAATTTATTCTTTACATGAAAGAAAACACTATTTCAAACAGTAATATTCGCTATGTGAATGTCGAAAATGTTAAAGTATAGTAATTAAGAATTTTGACTTTGATATTCATCATTTCGTACTAGAAAAAATGATCGCATGATATGTAAAAAATATAAAATACATTTACTAAATTTTTATACAAGCAACGTCAATATTTACCAAAAAAAAAATGCTAAATTTTTAATGCAACGCTAAAAATGAAACTATAATTATTGATTTGCTTGAACTGGTAAAATACATATTTTTAGAGTAGAATTTTTACTGTTTCACTTGTTAAATTCTCCACGTATGGGACCTTCCCCTTCTCCTCATTTGTAAAGTTAATGCTCTAGTGAAGCATTAGTATAGTCTTTTTTGTCAATGTGCATGACACTAACACTGTCAAGATAGCCAGTAAAATACATGTGGTTAATGAAACTCCTAATAAAAAAGTTTTTCCAACGTTCTTATAGAGTTACGGTTAGGTTATAGTCTCGTGTGCGTTAGGAGTACTGTTCGGATCTCGGTTAGAGCGATAGGCATTTTTCTAAACTTATTTATATGGCAAGCATTAAACGTAAAATGAATGAATGTGAATGTGATGTGAAACCTTATCCCCCCTCCACCTCTGAAAAATTTCGAAAAAAAATTTAAAATCAAAATAAAACAAAAAGTTTAGCGAATCCGAATTGGCACAACTCATGATGGCTCATACGTTGGTTGGATAAATAAAAAAGTTAATGTTCTGAAAAAATATTTTTTTTTATTTTATTTAAAATATTACTTTACTTTTGTTTTTGTCTAAAGATTACTTTTGCAATTTGCTATTTTTAACTTCCCGCTAGGAAAATCAATGATTTTCGAAAAATCGGAAAGTTATTGGTTTTACCCCGTTTTGCAAAAATCGAGGTTTTAACAGATCTCGACGTTTTGAAGCCCTAAGGAGCTTTTCTGACTAATTTTCCGATGATGTCCGTACGTCTGTATGTGTATGTGTGTGTGTGTGTGTGTGTGTGTGTGTGTGTGTGTGTGTGTGTGTGTGTGTGTGTGTGTGTGTGTGTGTGTGTGTGTGTGTGTGTGTGTGTGTGTGTGTGTGTCGTGGC